AAATACCATATTTCTCTGGTTTATAGCTATTCAATTTGCTGGCATGCTTTCTTGTCAACACAAATATTTTCTATATGTCTCAATTTGCATTCCCTGCTACCATTGCTGCAGTTTCTGCAACACCCACGGTACCATGACAGATTTCCTGTTATGCAGAGCACATTTCTACTCAAGTATTTCTCTCTATATTGTACCTTCATGAGAAACAGCTCATCCCAAAAGCGAGGGTTGTTTTTGGCCGGGTCTTCTTTCTACAACAAAGGAGAAACAACACTGTTAACACTTGAACATAAGTTTATTAGTCTAAACTTGCACCACTGACATTCTTTAAGAGCAATACTCACTGCAAAAATCTCATCATACATCAGAACCACCTTCTCCTTCAAGGGCTTTTTAGAGGATGACGTCCTCCTCAACAGTCCTGCCTTCTTCTCAACCTGAGACATGACTAAGTCTGGGGAGAAAGACACAGCGAGTGAGAAATGTGTATACAAGAGGAATAAAGGATTTCTTTTCAACGGGCTGATAATGTTCTGTATTGTTTAATCAAATCCAAAGAAAAGAACAAAATCAAGAAGAGCTGGGCTGAACTCTGTAAACATGTCACTACACAAAAAATTCAGTATTTCTCCAGGGACTCATTTCAGTTGTGGTACGCAACTCAATTGTTCACTGCTCCAGAATGGTTTATGTGACTAAATAAACTATAATGTTAACCTTTATGGTTGTAAAACATGTTTTAAATTGTTCTATATGATTTTATTATGTACATATTACCTTTAATGAATTTTGTTGGAAAGTTCTTTTATTTTCTCTTCCATAAGAGCAGAGCCTTTTGGAGAAAAATGACTGTAAACACGAAGTTTGCTTACACTGAATACATCAACTGATTGGCCTTTACAGTCTCTCTAGCTAATATTTTAGGCTAAAGTCTACTGCCATCAACAACAGCTACACACCTGTCATGCCAGTTTTTTGTTTTGTTTGTTTGTTTGTTTTGTTCTGGTTTTTTTTTTTTTACAAAGAAAAAAAAACTCCCTTTACTGCATTACCAAAGTATGCGGCCAGGTGACAAAACCTGCTCGTATTAATGACTATTTTACTAACTTGCATTTCTCAGTAGTGCATAAAACAACATGACTAACATTAACAACGTCGTGCTCAACTTGTCAAGTGAAATATTTTAAAAGAAATTGTTGTAATTTACAAAGCAGCAAGGTTTCAGGATAGGTTAGCAGAGTGAGCTATTACAAGTAAATGAATGTTTGAATGAACTGAGTAATACGTGAGCATATTAGCAAAGGTACTAGGTTAGCTTACAGATGATCAACTGACACTGGTTTATATTACTGGACTGTCGTGAGAGTTAATCTAATCTGTGTGTGAACTGGGATGGTTTTATATGCTAGTTAGCTAACATTAGCTACCTCACCCATCGCTACCTAACTGGGTTAGACTAGTAAACGACAAACAGCGACACGGTCATATTAACTAACAAGTACTGATGCCCAGTAGACACTCGAAGATCCCTTAGTTTATTCGCAGTCAGGTCGCTAAACATTTATCGACTGAAATAATCAAAAATGTTATTCGCAGCTAAAGCTAATGCTGCCTAGCAAGTGCCTGTCAAACAAGGATGTTGGCGTTGGCCCTGGTTGAGCGTTAGCCTCCTAGCTAATGTCTGTGTGCGATTGTTGGTAATAGTACAGTGTTGTACTGTTTGAGCGGGTTTATTTTGTGTGTCCTTACCTCAATTAAAGTGTTAAAATCTAAGTCAGTGCGGTTCATGAATCCTTGTGGTGACAACAGTGTCTGTTAGCATACTGGGAGCCGCCGAAGCTCCGCAGGGTCTCAGCGCCCGACGGGTTCCAACATGTTTTACTCCACGGTGCTCACTGATAGGGCTGACACGATCTACTCTTCTCTATGATTAGGTCATCGACTGTTACCGATTAGTACTAATCTAAATGACTAATTTTCCTCTGGCATGCAAAATGACCACTTTAAGCTGATTTTATGGTTGGAAACTGTATATTACTGTATATTACTGTACAATTCATCCATCCATCCATTATGTACAGTCGTGGCCAAAAGTTTTGAGAATGACACAAATATTAATTTTCACAAAGTCTACTGCTTCAGTTTTTATAATGGCAACTTGCATATACTCTAGAATGTTATGAGGAGTGATCAGATCAACTGCAATTAATTGCAAAGTCCCTCTTTGCCTTGAAAATGAACTTAATCCCAAAAAAGACATTTCCACTGCATTTCAGCCCTGCCACAAAAGGACCAGCTAACACCATTTCAGTGATTCTCCCATTAACACGGTGTGGGTGTTGATGAGGACAAGGCTGGAGATCAATCTGTAATGCTGACTGAGTTAGAATAACAGACTGGATGCTTTAAAAGGAGGATGGTGCTTGACATCATTGTTCCCCTTCTGTTAACCAAGGTTACCTGCAAGGAAACACGTGCGGTCATCATTACGTTGCACAAAAAGGGCTTAACAAGGAAGGGTATTGCGGCTAGTAAGACTGCGCCTCAGTCAACCATCTATCACATTATCAAGAACTTGAAGGAGAAAAGTTCAATCGTGGTAAAAAAAAAAAAAAAAAAAAAAGCTCCAGGGCGCTCAAGAAAGTCCAGCAACACCAGCTGTTTCAGCTGTGGGATCAGGCCACCACCAGTGTAAAGCTCGCTCAGGAAAGGCAGCGGGCAAGTGTGCATGCATCTGCATGCACAGTGAGGTGAAGACTTTTGGAGGAAGGCCTTTTGTCAAGGCGGGCAGCAAAGAAGCCACTTCTCTCCAAAAAAAAAAAACCATCACGGACAGACTGATATTCTGCAAAAGATACAGGGATTGGACTGCTGAGGACTGAAGTAAAGTCATTTTCTCTGATGAATCCCCTTTCTGATTGTTTGGGGCTTCTGGAAAAAAGCTTGTTCGGAGAAGACAAAGTGAGCGTTACCATTAGTCCAGTGTCATGTCAACAGTAAAGAATCCTGAGACCATTCATGTGTGGGGTTGCTTCTCAGTCAAGGGAGTGGGCTCACCCACAATTTTGCCTAAAAACACAGCCATACATAAAGAATGGTACCAGAACATCCTCTGAGAGCAACTTCTCCAAACCATCCAAGATCACTTTGGTGAACGATGCCTTTTCCTGCACGATGGAGCCCCTTACTAACTAAATGGCTCGGGGAACAAAACATAAAGATTTTGGGTCCATGGCCAGGAAACTCCCGAGATCTTAATCCCATTGAGAACTTGTGGTCAATCCTCAAGAGGTGGGTGGACAAACAAAAACTCACAAATTCTGACAAACTCCAAGCATTGATTATGCAAAAAAAGAATGCCATCAGTCAGGATATGATCCAGAAATTGATTGACAGCATGCCAGGGAGAATTGCAGAGGTCTTGAAAAAGAAGGGTCAACAATGCAAATATTGACTTGTTGCATGAACACAGTGTAATTGCCAGTAAAAGCCATTAATACTTCTGAAATGCTTGTAATTATATTTCAGTCTACCATAGAAACATCTGACAAGAACACCTAAAAACCTTGAAGCAGCAGACCCTGTGAAAATGTAATATTTGTGTCATTCTCATAACTTTTGGCCAAGACTGTATACACCACTTAATAGTCACTAGGAGGGCTGGAGTCTATCCCAGCAGGGCGAAGGCAGGGGACACCCTGGACAGGTCGCCAGTCTCTCACAGAGCTACACTGAGAGACAGACAACCAAGCACACTCACATTCACACCTACAAACAATTTAGAATCACCAATTAACCTCAACATGTTTTTGGACTTGTGGGAGGAAGCCGCAGAACCCGGAGAGAACCCACGCTACATGGGGACAACTTGCAAACTCCATGCAGCAGGATCCCGGTACCCCCACTGGGACGCGAACCGCCAACCTTCTTGCTGCGAGGCAACAGTGCTACCAACTGTGCCACCTTGCTGCCCGAAACATTATTATTATATAAAATATAATAAGTTTTAAAATCAGGATCAGACTGCAGGGTAAGTAGTTGTTGAATGAAGAGCAAACATGGACTCAGGACAAGTCATAAACTGGTGCCTATATGTCTGTGATACTAATTTAAACAATTCTAAGACAATAAAAAAGGAAGAAAGACTGCCATGCAAGGCCATGCATATGTTAGTCATTTAAAATTTAACAGTTACCAGTGCCACAAAAAAAATCCATAGTAACACATGATACTGTGCTGAAAATAGGATTTTGTAACTTAATGTGAAGCAGATAGACACTCAGAGGAGACATCGAGTAGATTTCTTGCTTTATTGTAGAATGTGTATTCCCACTGTGTGTCACTCTAACCATCAGAAAGTTGTACTCCCATGGACACTGGTGACTAAAGACTGGCTGATTAGCTCCAAAAATCAGCAGGGTAGAAGTGGGTTTACAAAACGTGCCCAGATTTATGGAGGAGCTGCATACATGGAGGATGAGGATGAACTGAAGGATCCTGGTCTTTTATCTCTGTGATCTTTGGCCACTCGTAACGGATTTGAAGCACTTGGCCATATTGGAGGTAGGAGATGGCTGAGATATTTACCTCCTTATGTATGTGCCAATAAATTACCTTATTCCTGTGTCAGTACATTGAAATGTCAGAGCTTAATTTCATCTCTGATTTTCTTTTTTTCTCACTAATTACAGTGCTTTAATGGCTTTTTCAGGAGCCGTTTTATGCCATATTTATGCAACTGCATCCTGAGCAACCACATTTAGGAATTTAGACAAGACATACAAAAAAAAAAATGTATGAACTGCCATTTAACTGCTATAGATTTAGGATTAATTTTGTCTACATTTGTGAATTAGAAAAAGCGCTGAGCCATTTTATTTTAATTTTTTTTGTCAGAGTCGTTGCTCTGCACTTAGAAAATGCTCTACTTCAAAGCAACAGTTGAAGTTTCCATGTTTTGACCTCATGAGTTTCTTGGTAAATTAACTTTTGCCATCAAGGGAGCAATATATCTGGTAAAGACTGCACGGAGCACCTTGATTTCCAGAATAAATGAGACAAGCTCTGCTTTTACCGTGTCATTAGACAAAGAGGGAGATGAGGCAGGAGAGAGGAAGGAAATCGGAACATAATGAGAAAGTAGAGAAGAATAGCAGTTGAGGAGAGGGAGCGAATGTTACCTGACACACAGAAAGAACCCACAGTTACACAATAACCATCTTTTTTAAACTTTTGTGTGCCTGCTTATGACAGCTTTAAACTAATGTTATATTTTGCTGAAAAAGAAAAAAGAAAACATATGATGCTATAGTCAGCGTTTTAACAGCCAGATAGTTCTGTCTTTCTACAATGTAATACATCAGCAGACAGAGTGACCTTTGAAAGACACCTTTCCACTGGATTTTATGCTGGTTTAGCTCTGCTCAGTTTAGTTTACTATTAGTTTCTTTTTAGCAGGGATCATGCATGACATAAGCTTTAGTCCAGAGTCAGCTATGTGTCTGATTTACATCTGCAGCCACTGGACAGACAGATGTTAACAACGATTCAGTGCAATGCTGTCTGTTGAACATGGAGCCGAGGGACAACATATCCCTTAGTTCTTTCTGTTTCTAGGTCTCACATGTTTTTCTCAAGCTGAGATCCACTTCAACCCTCACAGACCCTTGAGGTCTCAGCTGGTGGAAGCTTAGCTGAGAGACCTTATAGCTCTGCAGGTGAAACTGTGAGTGGAATAAATACCAGATAAGAAAGTGAGTTGGCAGGTGGGATGTTTGTGTGAAGGAGGCTGGTGTGGAAGACAAGGGAGGCACCTCAGAGTCACAGCGTCTGATCCTCACCCAACTCCTCTAAATAGAATTGGTGCACAAGCATATCTAAAATACTCTGACTGCTGTAAGTTTGAGAAACGAAAGGTAGTTAGTATAGACAGATGGAGAAGGCTCACAAACACTATTAATTAATACTTTGTCATCATGTCAGTTTGCTCTTGCAACTTCTGGTTGCTGCAGAAAAAAAAAATCACTGACTGTAAATGCTAACTGTTCTGCACCCCTACCATGCTTTTGTGCCTTAGCACTACACAAAGTGTTTTACAATGTTTCTAATTCACACATGTAGTTGGTAGCACTGTTGCCTCGCAGAAAGAAGGTCGCTGGTTTGCGTCACGGTGAGGGCACTGGGATCTTTCTGCGTGGAGTTTGCATGTTCTCCCCGTGCAGCTTGGGTTCTCCGGCTTCCTCCCACACAGTCCAAAAGCATGTTGAGGTTAATTGGTGATTATAAATTGTCCGTAAGTGTGAATGTGAGTGTGCTTGGTTGTCTGTATCTAAGTGTGGCCCTGTGATAGACTGGTGACCTGTCCAGGGTGAACCCTGCCTTCGCCCTAAGTCAGCTGGGATAGGGTCCAGGCCCCCCGCAACCCTAGTGAGGATTAAGCAGTGAATAGATGGTGGATGGATGGATGGACATGCAACCCTGCAGAATGCTTGCCTCCCATCAGCTTTCAGTGTTCAGTGTCTTGCCCAAGGACACTTGAGCATGTAGAGGGGCCGTGGATCAAACTGGTTCTCCAAAAAGTGATTAAAGGAACCAATTCCTATCACTTAATTCAATTAAAGTAAAATTTTCATTTACTGATTTAGACACAGAAATTATTTTTGATGGGTTGCTGTGACATAATAGTGTTGGTAATTATATCAAATTGATAATGTGTGCAATGTAAACTCACATTTCTGCATTAGTTGGTTTAAAACCAAATTCAGATCATACTAACTAAATATAATTGGCTTAATTTTTCTTCCCCTTGAATTCAGGATTTCAAGTTCCTCCC